AGTCCAGAAGCCAAAAGATTCCATATGCTTGAACAGATGACTATCTTCATACTGTGATGGGATATTTAACTGTTTAGATCTAATACTGCATTTGAAAGGTTTGGTATTAAACAGCACCTCATTTTTCTTGAAGTTTCAATGTCTGTATTTTCAGATTACATAAATAAAAGATAAGATATTCTCAAGTTGCATACACTCATCACATTTTAAAGTTTAACATAATCATTATGGAAGCGTAATTTTGTGATTAAATATGTGCTGATGCTTATGGTGATAAGAACGTGCTTATAGTGTTCTGAATTGTAACATATTAAAAATGAGAAGGCTTTTTTAGTTATACATTTTAACCCAAAAAGTGACTAGTCATCAACATAATATAGCTAGGTAAATTAAAAGACAGCTAATATGGCTGCAAAAACATGTTTCAGATGAACAATGTATTTGTGCTTGAAATGAGTATTTGTTACCAAATCAGAAGTGGCAGAGCCAAGATACAGCCTCTTGGCAGCCATGAACTTATTTTACGAAAAGAAAATATTTCTGTGAATTGATAAGTAAATGCAATGAACAATAATAGAAATTAGAAGCAAAATGTTTTACTCTTACACAATTTACATTTTAATATACATTTAAAGTGTCTTTGGACTTGCTACTGGATTATAATTTTAAGACGCTTCTCTGAATGCCCAGGATATCCAAAACAGAATATTCCCATCTGAAAACTATATGAGAAACACAAGAATAACTGCCATAAACTCATGACTCTCAACATTTCTTTGTATGGAAGTGAAACTGTACTTCTTTCACACAACTGAGTATGCCACAGCTAAAAGGAAAAAAAAACACAACAGTATAGTAAAATATAAAGACCATTTCATCTCCATAGTTTCTATTCAGAAGAGGATTTTGAAAGCTTATTCAACTAATGATATAGAAAAATACGTGACATTTAATCTTAGTACAGTTGCTGCTTAATATTTACATGCACAAATGTACCTGAAGGTTATTCAGCATTTTACACTTGTGAATTCACAGAAGGTAGAGTTCTAGGGAATGCAGTCTTGGCTCCTGCCATAGGAATACAGATTTCAAAGTGAGAAATTCACAATTCTGTATTAGAATGGATTCTAAAGCACTACTGCTTGACTTCAAGTTTAGCTGCTAAAGCTCTCACTGTGAACTCAAAAGGCTATGAATGCAAAAAGGTTTGCTTCTGAATTTTTCTACACTGAAACATACAGTGATTTATGCACCCCGGTTAATTCAAAGCATCAAATCATTAATATTGCAGGAAATCAATTTTTTAACATGCTGGATGAAATAACGAAAATACTTGCTAAGCAGGACTTCAGACTCAGAGGACAGGTTCTGTAACTTCTGCGACTTATCCATACTGACTTTTCATTAGTCAATTAATTTCCCTGGGTACACACTGACTAATATGGTGGTTAGTCCTTACCAGTAATACAGCTTCATGTTCAAAATAAAGGGTGGCTTCAATGAGAGCGTTACACGTCTTCAAATGGAAACAATAATCTACTTAAAAAATACATATTCACGAACTTGACTGTTTACTTAAGTGATACAGAGTTGGAAATAAGGAGAATGGAATTATGAAAGTATTTTACATTGCAACTTTTTTGTGAACATAAAACAGTGACGTTAAAATCACATTCTGTAGAATAATTTTTTTTAACACTATGTACTAAAAATGTAGATTGTCAAAATACAGAAAACAGGAGTCCATTCTAGTTTTGATAATATTTCTTATTTGGGAAAGTACAATAACAAATTAAATCCCTGTACAATTTGCCCACCCTGATCATTTCTGCTAGATTTAAAATGTAATTAATTTACCCTTTTCAAATGCACCATCTTATTTCAGAGGCACAATTCATTTTCAAGAAGCAGTAGAAAACCTTGACAAATAACCTTCCATCAACTGCTTTAATCACATTCATAAATATCTCAATATTTATTACCTGACAGACAGGGTAAAATAAGAGTATGTTCAATCAGGAGAAAATATCAATCAAGAAAAACTTGTCAGTTATCATCTGAATAAAATTTCTGATCGGTTAAGTTTTTAGAGTCATTTTCTTGAAATTTGCTTCCAGAACAATGTATTTCTGGTTTTGTGATAGAGAAAATAATAGAATATTTGTTTTTCTTTATGTACTGCACTAGGAGTTTCATCAATAAAACAGCGAATTTGTGCTCTTTAGGGGACTACAATTTCATTAACTTACTCTGAAAAAACGCTGTACACAACCAGATTCTTTGTAAATTTGTGTCTTTTCCCAAAATACATCTTTACAGAAGGCTGCGAAGACATTCAGTGTTCCATCAAACTGGGGGAATGAGCATCATATTCTGACAAATGCAATTCAAACTTACTAAATGCAAAGCAGTGAACTAGGTGGATTAGATCCATACTGGTAGATGTGTAGCACAGAGAGAAAAGCATCACAAACAAAATCACTGTTTAACGTTCAGCAGACACCGAAGAGACAAAGCATATATAAGCATGTAGGAAAAAGTGAACAAACAATAAGAGCATTATTGTACTCCATGACTGTGAGTTATGGCTGAAAAAAAGGAGACTGCTTAAAAACATATTAAGAAAGCAGCATGGGAGAATATACAAAACAATGAGAACACGAGGTATATAGGGAGCTTCATCTCACTGTCTTATCATCCAAGAACAAAGATATAATTTCTGAAATGTAGAGGCAAAATGAAACTTTTTGAAAGAAAAAAGCTACACAGATTTAATTTGCAAACTCCCTGTCACACAGCAACACGACAAGTACTTGGCAAAATATACAAAGGAAGCGAATCACTAACTACACAGATAAGTATTTTATTTAATGCACACAGCAATACAGACTATCTGGGCTGGATTGGAATAGCATCGTCCCTGTTGAAATTCAGTAGTGCCAAGTGTGAGTTTTATTTCTTCTTCACCAGAGTAACTGTAACTGGCTGTCAGGGACAAGGTATGGCATGAGATATGACTGAAAACTATTTTTTCAAAAGCAAACCATTTCTCTGTAAATATTATGCAAACATGATAACTTGGTAACACTTCACATTTTGAAATCCTGTATTTTCTTATTATGTGAAGATTTTACTTGCAGACTCCCTTAATTAATATAGTCAGGAAGCAAAAGATAATACAGCAGATACAGATAATTGTTCAGGGAATAAATGTGGAATTTACTACATCTTCAGGATAACAGTATGCATTTCCTACGCCTTCAGCTGGCTTTAAGATTTAACAGAGAAAGCATATCCTACGACTTATTCTGATTAAATTAAATACATATACAGAAACACACTAGGAAAAAAAAAACCAACAAAACACCAAGCAAATGCTCTCTCTTGTTCTCTTGAAAAGATATTTTCTTTACTTTTTTCATCCAGTAAGAAACCTCAGCAACAAAATGGTGAGTAGCTGGGTTGTGAGAATGTGAGCAGCTGCTGTTATTATAACTAAAGGTCTGTCTACGGCTTGAGCCTGAGAGACCACATGTTCGGCTGTCCTCTCATCTTGCCATCCTCACCAATTAACTATTAACATGGAGGGCTGTACACATGCTCTCAGGGGCTCTTTAACAGGCTTCTTGGAGAGTGGAACAACTACACAGCAGGGCTCTGGGAACTGAGTAATGTGGGGTATAAGGAACCCTCAGAGCAGCTCTGCTCCTCCTAATGACAGTTTTCTCCACAGTTTAGTATTTAAAGAAGGATACATGAAGTTTAACAATTTTAAAAACAACAACAACAAAAAGTAAAGCTTGAATTTGTTTAAAGCTGTGAAGATTCTGGAAACCACATTTCATTTTTTCCGCCTTCAGAATATTCTGTCACTTGCTGTAAAGTAATCCTGTTAAAATTCAAAATCAGAAGTTATGTAGAAAATGAGACATCATTTCATAGGAACTCTGGGGGAATGGATTTATAGAGAATTGACCAAAAGGAAAACAAAAACAACTCCCCAGATAAGTCGACAGAAAAACAAAAGATTATATCCTTCAACTTGTTTCTTAGAAAAGCTTGCTCCAGAGACATTTCTGGACTTCTGTAGAATATGATCTCTCTCACTGATATGTTAAAATATGTAAAAAGTATAATAACATAGGTTCTATGTCTCAGTGACAGACAGGAAATCCCAGTGTTTCAAAAGAAGGAAGTTAGTTTTAGATCCACAAATTCCAGTTATTGCAGTAAGTTTTACTATCACCCTATTTAAAGACATACTGTCATCTAGTATTAAAAATATGTAAGTAAGGGGATGGAGTTGTGCAGGACAAAATGTGGTTCAGGTATTCACCTAAATAACATCAGCAGGTACTCAGACACCTTTTAAAAATGCAGTATGTATGTGAGAATGATGAACTTACTTACATAATATAATATTTTAATTCAACAATGAAAATTTCCCTTCTATGATGAAGGGAACCATTTATAATATGAGGTTTTATTCCATATTATTTTATTATAATCAGTAATGAATAATACCTGGTTTATTTCTGTTCCCAACAAACCAGAATATTAAAGAGTAAACCTGTATCTTTCAATTCCTGGCTTTAAAAACAAAGTCATACATCATCCTGATGTGTATGACAGATGAAGGCAGTGGATTAAAATGCCCTGTATTGAAACTCTAAACTGTGTTCTGAGGTGGTGTAAAAGTGTGTTAGAAATAAAGATTCCTAGCAGAGTTTTCTCTGCTCTGATACTGCTCGAAATTTCTGACTATGACTGATAGAAGGAATAACTATTTAGGACTGTTTTATGCTAAGGTGCTCGTTGATTTTGCAGCATGACTGTCCCACAGAAATGTAGGAAAACCATCGTGTTGTTTAACTTTGCCCTTTGAATCAAAAGAGCTTTCTCAATTTTTAGAATTGCATTTATTTTTTCCCCATGAACTTCCAATTTTTGCTAACCGATGTAGCATCAACTACAAAATTTAGCAGAGATAGATTTCTTACCTCAATAAGGTGAGAGGGCATTGTGATGATACAAGCTGATAAAGATTTTCGGAGGAGGCCACGTAGAATGTACAGAAATTTTGTAATGCTATGAATATCTTCAGGAGTATTGGTGCTGCAAATGTCATCGTCCCACAACAGGGAACCAAGACTGTGAATTCCTATCCGTAAAATATTCTTTTGTTTTTTCTATTGAAAGAAGAACACAACACTTGTTATTTTTTTAAACACTGGGAGAAAAATACCACATTGTATACAATTTTAGAAACTACTACAATTTATAGAATGAATACCCATAATAATTCAGTAGTTCAAGTAATCACGAGTCAATCTCAGGTGATCTTGGTGAAAATTACAGTTGGAATGTTTTTGTTTTTCTTTTACTAGCTGGATAGCACACTACATTAGATAATTAAATACAAGAATAACAAGTCAGCGTGGAAAAATGCAAAACTACTAATGTGCAATTTCTAAAGGTAACCAGCTGGTTACATATAGTATATTCTGAAAGAGAATCCTAAAACATTACTGTTTTTCCTCTCATTTCTCTCCTTTCTTACACAAAAATTTGAGCTCCAAAGTATACCAAAGAAGTGTTAATGAAAAAAAAGTTGCCTGTGAAAGTTCTGCTACCAAGTATCATAAAAAGAAAATAATTCTGAGATAAATGAGCATGTATAACCATGCCAAATGTAAAAAGGATTCATATTAGTGACCAGCAGTAAAAAAAACCTACAGAGAGATTGTAAGAATCAAATTAAAAGAATTCAATAAAAACTGATGCTCCGATTTCTGGATTACAGGTGATTCACACCCTGAATTTCTACATAGTTCTCAGTAAAGATGTTCAAGACAGTGTGAACTGAGAAGTCACTGCATTGGTAAACTTCGACCCTCCTGTAGCTTAGTGCCTCAAAGAAGAGTTACTGTCCTAAGGCTCAAAGGATCATACAGGACAGACAGGACATCTTAACCTACGTCAGCGAACAGTAGGTGGGAAGGTTTGAGTCATGGCCTGAACACCTGATTGAGCACTTGGGAAAAGGACCCGGTCAGCCCTGGGTAGTAGCAAGAAATATCTGAATGTTTTACCAGTCAGGTCAAACATTTCCTTTGGACTCAGACCCAAAAAGCAACATCCTTCTAGGCCTTCAGACTCCAAAGATTTTGGGAAGTTTATGCTGCGCAATATGAAAAGCACTAAACACTAGAGGTGTTGTCTTCTATCTCTCACATGCAGTGATTATTGGATCTACTAAAGTCAGTAGTAAATCTCTTTCAGTTCCTCACTAATATATTTAGACCCTTGTAGTTTTCCCCAAACTTCCAATAGGACCCACCCAAAAGAGAGAGCATCGTTTTGGGTGGAAGAATGTAGATTAACACACTTCTTCAATGCTTGTGCTTTTATAACACAGAGGAAAGAACACAGGTCCATCACAGAAAGACACAGGTTGGTTCTTATTCTACTGTTCTTACTTCTAGCTACTTCTCAAGACTCAAGTTAAAGAAGGGATTATGGAGCAATAGATAAATTTTGCCTGGATTTGGAACATAAAATATTCCAAGATGTGTTCTGGTCCAAAACAACATCAAACTCTGGACATACTTGGAGACATGTGAGTTATACACTATACAAATCCACAAAATGTGAGCATTTAGAGAAACACAGTGCATGTGGAAAAGGGGAAACTTTTGTAGAAAAATAATCAAGCAGTAATAGGTTGCACTCAGTAATTCATACACGTTGTCTTCTTTGACAGAGAAAAGAGTGTGCAAGAGGTAACAGCCATCTAGTTAGGTAAGATGGTTTGAGAAAGAATCCTTTTTCAAACTTTAAAGCTTCACCTTAGAGACTTACACATTTGCATACACTTTTAAATTTGCCTGGTTTTTATTTGCTCTTTGGTCTTTATTGGCTCTAATAAGACGTTCTGAAAAAATGAACCGGGAGTACAGAATACCACTACCCACAATATTTAACATTTCCTTGTCTGTAGAAAGAAAAAAAATATCGTCTCTCACAGATCTTTATTTTGTTTAAAACTTAAAGATACTCCCAAACTTCAGGAATGTGCAGGGGCACTGCCTTCCTGTCAGACTTGGCTGGTGAGACAGCTAGGAAGCACCAGCCCCATCCCTTCAGGAGGAGGTTCCTTGCTGCTTTTTGCAGTCCATGAGCTCTCCAGTCCCAGTGGAGATGTCAGCCACAGGGAGTGGCAGAAGAGGGGACAGGCTGGGACACAGCACAAATAGCTAATGGTACAAATTTAAATGCAAGCATTCTATGTGGATAATGCTTCTATAAATACTCTTAGACAGGAATACATCCACTCCTATGTTATTTTCTACACAAAAAGCACTTCTCAGATATTAAACTTGTAGTGGCACACAGTCTTGTATTGTTTCGACATTATCTGTACTAATCAACTTGTGTTCCAGTAATATTCCTGTTGTACAAGGAATATAATTATCAATAAAGCCTCAACATCACTTAGTTCATTTACATCACCTTGAAAGGAGTGGCATATTATTTGATATGACTAAAAACAGGGGAGAGGGTGTTGTTCAAACTAGAAATAAGGTATTCAATTCTGTCTTGATGGACTTGGAATATTTCTGATTACCCAAGGTATGGGTTATGAAAACTAAAGTGACCTTTTCAAGTCTGTGATGATTTACGTGGAGTGATCTTCACAAGTCTAGTAAGATGTTTTGATACTTAAATTGAACTAAAATTACACACCATTTAACCCATTAAAAAATTCACTCCACTCACAGCACTGAAAGAATCTGCAAGTCTAAATGTTCAGACTCAAGAAGCTTGAGCACATTACTGCTAATACAATGGTTCGAAAAAAGATCTCCGTAGGTGAAAAGCACATTTTATTTAATTTCACTGTATTTGGCAAACCATTTATTAGCTAATTGCACAGTGTGCTTTTTAGTAATCCTGACTTAATGGTTCTTTTTCAAATGTTCTGCGTATCTGCTAAAAAAAGGAAAAAGCTCCAACTGCACATTAAATTATGAAGCACAATCTCCAGTTACTTTTCTTGTTCACTTCCACAATGTTTAGAAACAGCTTCAAACAGCTTCTTCCTTGTTAATTTTTCCAGGACATTCTTTTGCCACCCTTAAAAATTCAGAAAATCTCAGTTCAGGATGATAGCAGAGTACAAATGTGCTCAGTACCTGGGGATGAGAGCCATCAAATCCCTCCTGGCAAATGACACTCTGAATGGACTGAAGCAGCCTTGCATAACCACAGTTCATATTACTGTTGGAAAGAAGAAATAGTTTAGTAACACATACTCTCTAATAGCTGTATTAAAAATAGATAGAAACAGATGCAGCTTTCAGTGTAGGAGTGTCTCACAGAAGGAAAAAAACAACCCTTTTTGAATAAAGCAGCCCTTAAAAGCAGTTGTGATTGGTTCACGTTAACTAGTTCAGCATTCAGATATTCTGTGAAAGGTAAATCTCTTAGAGATGAAGATAATTATGTCAGGCTCACTTACATGTTTAAGTTCAATGATTTAATGTAGTTACTTAAAGCTGCAACCATTACAGCACAGTATTAAAGTTCTGTAGCAGACAAACAGCTACTCAATTGTTATTCTGAGTATGTCAATTCCCTGGAGAACAGGGCTGACTTTCTATTTTGTATCTTTCATACACACAAACACCACAAGAATCAAAACCAACAGAAAATTTCCACTTACTTTAAAACGTTCATTTAGCATAATTTGTTTTTATTTTTAGTAATCTTTCTGATACCACACCAGAGCATAAAATACATTCTGTTCTATTATAGATCTATTCTGTATCCATCCACTCAGGTGTTAGCACTCCTTTATTTGCAACGCAATGGAATTGTGAGGTATAATTTATGTTTATGTGTTATTTGGAAAACAGCTGCTAAGATTAAAAACCAAAGAAACAAACAACCCCCCGACCTAAAGAAAAAAAGAATTAAAGCAAACTGTTGCCTACACTCAGGCAGCTAAAACCAGATGAAAGTTTAACAGACTTTCCTCTCAAAGTCTTGCAACCTCCAGTTCCTGCTCCTCCAATGCATTTTTTCTGATACTCGTTCTTTTTTCAGACTCATTCTAGCCTTGCTCTCCAGTCCACAGGCAGGGGACAAAGGCAAAGGACAGAAAGTCCTAATCTTCACTTAAAAAAAAATCAAGCCAGCTGTTCACTTTAAAAAGAGACATACTAGTTCTTAAATCCCCAAGAGCATACTGGCTTTTGTGCCTGGACTTGAGGTAGGCTCCTGAGTGAAGCTGAGAGTTTAAGCCCTCCAACTTTCCTAGCTTCAGTACTTTGTTACAATCTCACTAATTACCGTCAAGCCTTGTGGCTTCTAATCTTCTTGGAAAACATGGTTATTTTCAAAAACTTACTTCAAAATAGTCCTAGTTGCAGCCATCATTTCATATGGTTGGTCTGAAAACAATAGTGAAACTATCCCCATTGCTTTAGGGAAAGTAAAAAATACTTTTTGAATATTATTCATGTATATTTTACTCATTTTACTACGGAACATCTAAATTGACACGAGAAAGCTTGCTTTCATAGTTTTGCACGGGAAAGAATTTTTGAGTATTTGGAGTTTCTTTACCATAGGCTCCTGCAATGCTTTTAGAAGAACAGTGTCAACTCAAACCCTAACCCCAAGATGATTTATCAGTGTCTACAATCAAATTAAAATAATTTTATTTTCATAATAACTCCAAGTTTTAAAATATTCAATATCAGAAACCATTCAGATGACACTTCATATACAGATAAAAGGAGAGAGCTTCAAAATTAAACTCAGTTTATTTGCTTTTAGTTTTAGTACTTTAATACTAAGTATGAAACTCACAGCTGCTAACAATTGGCAATACACATCTCCACGTGACTTTTAATGTGTAACATCTGCCTTGCTGTACAAAATAGAGTATCTCAAACACAAGAGTAAAGTGTCGCTTTGGAAATGGATTATTTTCCTATCACTTAGCTGCAAAAGGAGCAGGTGTCCAATGTTATACCTGCTCTGTCTTAGGTGTTTAAGTTTACAGAGTAGGTGGCCAGAAAGCAGGCTTTAGCATCTACATCAGACAAAATGTTTTCTCTCTCCAAGCGTTCACTTAAGAACGACACGATCCTTGTTTATACAGTGCAATAATTTCTTCTTTTGCCAGAGCTGGGGCAAATCTGCAGAGCTTCAGAATAACAAGAAGCATTTGTGTATCCTTTTAGATATTCCTTTATCCTCTTGGGAATGACAGAAAACTACTGTCCACCAACAATAGGGATGGAGTTTCCAACTACCTAGTAGCCACAGCCAGGGATGCGCCTAACGCTTGTTTTGCTTTGGATAATATTACAATGCTTGTTGTGCCATCCACAGTGTAAATCAGAGTGTATTCTGCAATTCTTGCTTTTAAAAATGAACAGAAGAATAAAATGCTTAACTTTATTGCTTTATTGCCAAAATCAGAGAATTCAAAAATTAAAAAACAAACAAACATAAAAAAGACATAGAAGATATGCTTATCTACACACAAAATTCGCAGCAAAGAGAGGTTTGAAGAAAATAATGTGATGCAAACAGATTGTTGTTTTTTTTTTTCTGTTTTTTTTTCCTGAATGTAAAAATAGTGGCTCTTCTGGCTAAAATATTACTGGCTTCCTTGAATTTGAACTATGCTAAGTAAATAAGGACATGAAAAAATATCGTGGAAACGCTATTTATAAAAACAGGTTGCATTACCCTTCTGGCAATGTTTGCCATAATATATAAGGAAGGAAATAAGGTATTTTTTATTCTGCAATTTCTAGCCTTTTTTTTGGCTTTGTTACTAAACACCATTTAATTCTGATAATGAGTTTAAACAATTTTTTCTTTACTCTTTTTTTTTTTGTTGTTTATCAATTTAGTAATGGGTAAAGCAGGAGCTGGCAAGAAGGTATCCTGGTTACAAAAGAGCCTCTGACTTTGCTGTTGATAGTTTCTAAGCATTTAACAAAGGTTAGGCTATCAAAGGTATGACAAATAGCCTTATTATGTATATGGAGACCCCATTAGCCAAGACAGTTAAACCTGTTTTATCTAAATTTATCTCTAAATCTAGACTCTAGACAAATTCTTTTTTTTTTTTCAAAAGCAATTACATTCTTAAGGTAAAATTTAGGAGTATTATTGAAAAACTACAGCTTAACTATTTTAGTTCCCTGAATAATCACACTTCATTTTTGGTCATTACAACTTAATGGGAACAGAAGTAAAGCAGAAGGTAGGAAGCAAGCCTCTTCAGTGATGCACTAACTTATCAGAGATGGTACTTTTGCCTTCCTGTTAAGTATCAGCTTTAGCAATGCAACAGAAAGGACACCTGAATATCCTAGCAACAGCAACTGTAAACAGCTGCTATCAGGTGCACAGCCCTGTTAACCCCGTCCCATGACTAAGGCCAGTATGTAACTGCTCTGCCCTAACAGCTACTGAGCTTAAGAAGAGAAGGATGATGCTTTCTTCTGCATCAAACATCCATTCTCAATTACTACTTTATGAAAAAGGACTTCTCAATCTGCTTTTAGTCAATTTTTATCACAGAGCAATGCACTTCCACTCACCTAGAGTAATTCTCCAAAAGGAGACCCAGTAATCTAAGTTAGCCATCGCATTATGTACCAGAACTACAAAAAGGAGAGCAAATACAGTACTCCTCATCTCCCTCCTTCAGTGAGCAAACACAAGCACGTGCACAAAAACACAAGAAAGAAAAAAGAATTGCTCCAAACGTTGTGATGTACAGAACCTTCCAATATGGCCTTCTGTAATTGCAAAGTGAAAAGCCAGTCAGTAGCTGAGATCTGACTAACCAGTCAGCCAGACAACCTCTTCTCTTTGCAAGTCCAGAAGGATGCCAAATTCTAGTGCAGATAGAAAGCCAACACCATGGATATAGGTAGGTGATTTCTAAGAAGAGTGAAGTTTTTGGCCCATATAAAGCCCTGAAACCTCTGCAAAAGCAGTGCAGTAATGACTCTGCACCAAACAGTAGATGCAATTACAGAGGGTGTATGCACTAAAGAACAGTCCAAAGTTTTCTTAATTGATGCTAGAGAATTAGAAACACCAAAATGATTTGGTCCTTCACTGCAGAACATAGAGCTTACCAGCTCTGTGTAGAAAGTATATGTTGGATCAGGTGCACTTTCCACAGTGGCTGCATATTTTCAGGTGCTCCTGCAATAGCAGTAGTTAGATGGCTGTAGCAATTTACTTCACCCTGAAAGTAATCATTTTGTGCTCTGCTACAGTACAAACATTTAGAATGGATCATGTTAACTAAACTGATGAGGAAGCATTTTGAGAAGATGGAAAAAATCTTTTTCTTACTTTTTTTATTTGCTAATTTTTAAATTATTTTTTTGTTTGCAATTTCTGATACTACAAAAAGATGTCATCCATCAACAAGTACATCATCTAATTATGGAAAATTATATACTAGGTAAAACTATCAGTTTCCACTTCCTCCTCTATCACTGTATTAGTGACAAGAGCCATGCATTCTCAGATTAAAAAAAAAAATAATCAACAGCATTGAGTCTGGGTTACACTATGAGATTTAAAAGCACTTCCTCACTTTGAAAGGTTTGTGTGACATTATCTTTCAGTGAGAACACTTTTTCTGTCCATTTTCTTTGCATAAACAGAGAACATTTAAAAAAAACACGTTTTTAGTGATCTGCTGAAATTTCAAGTCATTCTTGCAACCATTTTTTAAAAGTTTCTTTCTCATTTTTAATACTTCTTTGAGTTACTCTCACCCAAACACATTACAGTATTTTTGCAGTACCATACATATCATTAAGAGTTATTCTGCCAGGTATTTCTTGGGCCATGAAGATAAGGCCATAAGGTCAGAGACACTTTTGTCTAAGAAATGACATCCTCTGAGTGAGACATTCTGACCAGCCAGGTCTGTGTTCCTAGTTCACTGTAAGAGGCAGTAAAAGAAGCTTGATCTAGCTCTCAGTGGGACAAATTACTGACTTCTATTTAGAAGGGTTAACAATAGCACTTAAATCTTTCTTTTAAAGCATTGTCTAGTTAATCAAGAGAACAGAAAATTTTTACCCTTCTGTGATATACCGAAGCTAGCTTTAGAAGCCAGAAGCACTGCATCCTTAGAGGATTGAGAGCTTGTTTTTGCTCCTTGAGAAAAGAATGCTTTCCTCTGATTTTCATCTCAATATTTGTAAAAAAAAACCAACAAAAAAATCAACAAAACAACAACAACAAAAACCAACAAAAAAACAACAGCGTAAACCAGTTGCAATTCAGAAAAAGCACAGATGTTTTGAAAGCAGAGAAATCACTGGTAACGTATTTAATACATTTTGACTAATGTGAATTAAAGAGTCACAGAAGGCAGAGATGAAGGGGACCTCAAGAGGTCAGGTAGTCTATCTTCTTGCCCTAAGGCAAGATGAACTATGTCTAAACTATCTCTGACAGATATTTACCTAACTTATCCCTAGAAATTTTCAGTGATGGAGATTCTACAGCACCCCCAGCCTGTGTCTGCAAGGTAACTTCTTCTAGTGCTAATCATCAGAAGAATATTTCCTTATGTCCACCTATACTACCACTGCTACAATTTACTGTAGCTCATTATTGCTCACCCTACTTACTGCAGATGACAGAGTTACTGCCCTTGCCATATCAGTTTTTAACTTGCTTTAAGACTCTTCGATTTACCTAAAGAACTTCCACTATTCCATCACAGGCCATATATCCCCACCCTACATCTAAACCCAGCTTCACATTTTCCTCTGAGCCAAAGTCTTCTGGAAGGATGCTAACAAAAACAGTACAGTCTTATCATGGCAGAGTAGAACAGGAGTACTTGGCACATCTACATGAAATTTCAGTTTATCACCCACATGTTTTCTAGATTACAAAATCAAAAGCATAAAAGGTAAAGTCTGTTTTTTATACTATAGACATGAATTATTTTCCTGAAAGTGTATCAGCTACTGTTTTTACATAACACAGCAAGAATACATGTTATCAAATTAAAATCAGTGATATCTGAATGCATAACACAGAAATTTGGGGTCTTGGCTTTTGCTTTTCTACAACTCTAAAGGCACACTTCTGAAAATACTTCTGTAAACACTTCACTTATTTTATAAATCTCAGTTTTTATATTAGGGCCTACTATCATTAAAATCTTATGCAATGAAGCTTTCTCTACTACTGCTTCTGGGAGTTGGCCCTATACATGGTGATCTAGAGAGCCCAGATATTTTATAAATCAAGCGACTGGGCTAAGCAAAGAAACTGCTAGTCCATATCTTACATTTGACTTGACTTGAAATGTCTCTGAGAAAAATACAATGGATGTGTTTGCCACAGGCTAACACAAGTCTTTGATGCTGTCACTTATTTTCTTTTGGTCTTCCTTAATTCATTACTGGTAGTAATAATAATAAAGTACAGTAAGTTATTTGTTCAGATAAGAGTTTATGATTTTCTCTGGAATTTAGGGTATTGTGTAAGATACATAATTAGAGTAATTCTTCTCACAGATTTTTTTTGTTTGTTTGTTTGTTTGTCTTGGATTTTCCTTAGGTGAAGCTGTAGAATGTAAGAGGTAAAAGTCACATAATAAACTAATGTGATACAGCATTCTAAGCTATGTAGGTCAAGGATGGCCTGTCGTCTTAGCCCTAAAAACTGTGAATGGTTATCTTCATATTCCTGAAAGCCACCTGACACACATTCATGAAAGCTGATGGGGCATGGTGCTCAGAGAGTAGTTCATAGACAGACAGTAATAGTTTTCCTCAGTCCCCACAGTCAACTGTCAGTAGGGCTGAACTGAGTATTCAGCTGAGTCTTAGGCTGTCCTAGTAATGTCTGCCTTAATTGCCTATGCCAACTTGCTTCCTCCCACTGAGGAGTCACTATACTGAACTGCTTCTGCGCCACAGTAGCTTTGCTGACATTCATGGCATGTAGTGCTGACATGGGAACTGCAGCTGAAATACCTGTGAGCAATATATGGCTACAAGATTTTTCACAGCAAGTGTAGATGAGAAAATATTCCTTACAACTAAGGTGCACTCAGAATGTGAATGCACAACAGAAGTACATGAGATTACAACTTACCACATTTTTAGTTTAGGCTCTAAAGGCAATTCGTCAGGAAGGAAAAAACTGTGCCATCTTATGGATTGAAGCAGTTCTGGAGACATTTTTTTAGAAACATCATAATAATGTCCAAACTTTATAGATGTTGTTGGGCTGGTCTGCGGAAACAGTAACAGTGATTACAATAATCTATTAGATGATTATCTGTGATAAGTAAAGACACAAAACAGACACATTACCTACTTCTGCATTTAATGATGACCATTATTAAAAATAAGGAAAATATGTACTAGAAGATGATTCTAGTCTTACTGGTGACTGAGAATGGAAGCGCAGAGATCAAGGAATACTGGTAAGCAATTTTTAAATATGCTTCCCCAGTACCACTGCTGAGCAAGAGTTCTGTCACTCTTGAAATCACATCACAATCTCCAATTAATAGAAAAATAAACCTGAGAAGCTAAGAAAGAAAGAAAGAAAGAAAGAAAGAAAGAAAGAGAGAGAGAGAGAGAGAGAGAGAGAAAGAAAGAAAGAAAGAAAGAAAGAAAGAAAGAAAGAAAGAAAGA